CCAAGGCGTTTCAGAGAGAATTTGGCAGTATATCTAACAGTCCTCACAACGCAGACCACATGTAACGACACCAGCCCAGGACCTCCACATCCAGCATCTTCACCTCCAAGACTGCCTGAGACCAGCCAACTGGACAGTTGCGGCAACAATCGGTTTCATAACCAAAGAATTTCTGCACAAACTATCAGGAACTGTCTCAAGGACTCATCTACATGCTCGTTGTCCTCATTGAGGTTTTCGACCTGACTGCAGTTTGTCGTAACTGACTTGAGTGAGCAAATTCGATGGCATCTGGCGCTCTGAAGAGGTGTCCTCTTCACGGATGAATCCCAGTTTTCACTGTACAGGGCAGATGGTAGACAGTGACACCAGATACTGACTGGTTTCCAGACCCCTAGACCCCCCAATACAGTGAAACTGCACATTTTCAAGTGGCCTTTTGTTGTGGCCAGCCTAAGGCAAACCTGTGCAATACCATGTTGTCTGATCAGCATCTTGATATGCCACACCTGTGAGGTGGTTATCTCAGGAAAGGAGAAGTGCTCACTAACACAGATTTTGACAGATTTGTGAACAATATTTGAGAGAAATAGGCCTTTTGTGTACATAGAGAAAGTCTTAGATCTTTGAGTTCAGCTCATGATGAATGGGAGCAAAAGTGTTTATCATTTTGTTCAGTATACTAAGCGTGACATTTGACAGGGGAAAATAAACTTGTCAGTGCTCTCTGCTGTAAGAACTATGTAACTGAGAGAGTATTTCTAAAATTATGTGACATATTTTTATCGGCCCAGCTCCGTACGTGATCATCACAGGTAAGACATAAAACAACGACTAGTGCTGAAACAATTAGTTTCTTATCAATTAGTTGATCTGCAGAAAACAAATCATTTAGGTCATACATAAAGCATAACGGCAAACATTTGCTGTTTAAATTACTGTCTCTGAAAAGTAGGTGCTGTTTTATATCACTGTAAATTTAACAGTTTTGTTTTGGACTGCTGGTCAGATGAAACAAAGCATTTGAAGATGACACTTTGGACCCTGGGAAATCGTGATGGGCTTTATTTCTCTGTCTTTTAACACTTTATAGACCAAACCAGTGATTCCCACCCGGGTGTCGAAATCTAAAGAAGAGGTTGCAAGTTGAATCTCACAAAGACAGACATATTAATGCTACACAAAATGTTGTTGTTTTTTATCTTTATTATTTTTTCATGTTCCTCTAAATGTTGCTTTTTTAAAATAGGGAATTTCTGGATAATTTAAGGCCTTTAAGAAGAAAACAAATTTGGTCTAAACTGGTAGACAGTACACAAGCAGTGATGTCAGCTAAGCAGGTTGTGAAATAGTCTGGAGTTGCAGCCCATCATACTAACAGTCAGAAACACACACAATCACAAACACACAATCATAAACACATACATACAATCATAACACACATACACACAATCACACACACAATCACAAAAAAACATTCCTGACAACAAACACACACACCCTGATTACAGAGCGACAAGAAGAATTGCATGTCCACCCACAACTTCAGACTTTACCATTTGTCCCCCGACACTTTCTCTGATCCTCCCGTCTCGCTCCTCTTCGTCCTCATCCTCCCCCTCCTCCTCTCCTCTGGTGTAGGGGAGTTTCTGGTACATGTAGCTCTCCCCCATACTGTAGCAGCTCCTCTCGTCCTTCGCCTTGTCTGTCTCTCTCTCTCTCTTTTATTGGCTTTCCGTTTTCTGTCTAGCTACTGTCCAGGGGAGGCGTTAGCTCTGCGTCTCTGAGTCTACTTGGCTAATCTCCTTTCGGCTCTGTGACCTTCTCTGTTCAATCGATAGGCGCATGCACACGCACGTACACAAACGCACCTGGAGGCTTTCTGACGCCACTCTCCGCAGACGTATCACCTAAAGTTATCTATAAACCCTCTCTGTCTTCCCTCCCACTGGTTCTTTCTCTCCCTGCTGACTCACGGCTTCCTGCAGCGTCGGACACCTCCATACATCCCTTTCTCTCTCCATCATTTTTTCCTCCCGCCTCTGTTCTCTCTAGCTCTCTCTCTCCTTCTCGCTCGGCAGCCAAGCCCACCGTCTGATGTTAAATAATTCAGCAGCTCTAACAAGAGGATGAGAGGGATATCGTGGAGGAAGGAGGAGAGAAAATGTAGATGCAAATAAGTGGACAGATGGATGGGTAAATGGATGAATGGTCAGGCCAAAGAGAAATAATAGGTCATTTGATAGATGCCAACATGCAGATGGTACAGCAGCTACGCTTGACATCAACCCAAACAAGCAATATATTTGTAAAGGATGCAAATATGATGTGGTAAATTAGCTTTGGGCTGATTTGGGGACCATTTTTAAAGAAACGGTTGCATTCAGTAATAAAGTTTGAAACATTCAGTGGTTCCAGTGTGATTTTATATTATTGTTTGTGTTTTGTGCACAAAACAAGCCATCTTAAGACAAAACAATACTCAAGCCTTTTTTTGAATAAACAATTGGAAAATACAGCAGGCCAATTTATATAATAAATATAACAGTTTCAACCCTAGATTAAGACATTTATCAAGAGAAATGGTCTTATGGCATTAAAACTGAATACTGCTGTTTGGACAAAACAAGACATTTAAACATGACTTCTTGGGTTCTGGGAAATCATGATGGGCATTTATTTATAATAAAAAATTAAGTGATAATGAAAATAACTATTTCTTGCACTCCTTTATTTAGCCATGCTAACATATAACATATAATACCTCAACAACTTTAAGAAGGATTGCCATGAAAGTTGACACAGACATTCATGTTTATTTCATTACAGTCGAGATCCCCTGACTTTTGCTCTAGTGCCATCATCACTGCCCTTATGACCAAAAACCTGCAAAAGTGGTATCATTACCATCAGCTTCAGCTACACTTTGTGTCATGCTACAATAGCAAACGTTCACATGCTAGCACGCTAAACCAAGAGAGAGAATTTTGTAAACATTATAGGATACCTGCCAAACACCGGCATGTTAGCATTCAGCTTCTATGCAATGATTTACATTTATTCATTTAGCTGACGCTTTTATCCAAAGCGACTTACAATTGCTATACACGCACGCCTCTGGAGCAACTAGGTCTTGCTCGGGACACAATGGTGGATCACAGAGGGAATCAAACCCAGGCCTCCCACAACAAAGGTAAGCATCTATGCGCCATCACCACCCGGATGATTTCACATAGCTACCCTGGATGAAACTGAGGTCAGTATAATATTTCTGAGAGTGTTAATGATATGAAGAGGAGGTTACAAAGTGTTAGGATTATGTAACACACATGTTGGGCTATTTTAAGCTGATTCAGATATTTTTTTTGGACTAAACATGTGACTATATATAGGTAAAAAAAAACGTAATAAATTACTACAGGTTCTTAATATTCTGCATTAAAATTACACACCTTGAAGTGAAGAAAATGTTTTGAAACAACATTTAAACAATAGTGTTTCAGAAACCAGTGAATTAATAAATATATAAAATTTTGTGATTTAAGACAATACGTGGTTGGTGGCTTGTCAAACTGTCTAAATAATTCTCCCTTTGTATTCTCTTCTCTAAATGTGAATCCTGAATCCTGAATAATAGCCTTAATGAATTCCTTCTGTTTACACAGCTTGTCACAGACTACCAAATCACATTTGTAATACATTATATATTTATATATAAAGATGTCCGTTCACAAACATATTAATTATGGTAACATGAGGAAGATCTGAGTGATATCACAGCATTACTTCAGTTCTTGTTCGGTATGTTTGGTAAAAGCTTAACCGCTGCTTGCACTGAGCTCTTGTCAAAGATAAAAATGTACACACAAATCCAATCAGCCTGATCCTGTGAGCTTAATTTAAAATATTATGAGCTCAAATGTCTTACACTAAAAACTAATATGAATGTGACTCTGGTGCTTGTCTGTTTTCAAATTAAATTTAGAAACAAGGGTTAAAGGCTAGTGGTAAAACACAAATAATGTAATAGTACAGATTGAGAACAAGAAAATACATGAGAAGATTACTTCTAGATGCTGAGCCATCACCATTAGCAACATTTGACAGATAACATGTGCACAAACTGCAGCAGCACTGGCATTAGTGTGCATTATATGCCTGTACATTTCACATGCGTGTTTATGTGTGTGCGTTTGTGCATCAGAGCTTTCATCTCTGCGTGCACAAGTTGTATCGAGGCCGGCGCTCACGCTCTAAACATAGGAAAGCTAAATTTAGCTTACGCTCACTGGCATGAAGAGTGTAGCGATGGTGAGAACTGAGCTGTTTTACTTTGCCTCGTCTCGGCGTCAGACACCTGAAATTTAGTCAGAAGTGTTCACAGATACATTGATGTTTCCCTGTAGGGATTTATTGTGCATTTGTATTCTCGGTATCCTGCTCTGATTACAGTCACAAGGAAACAGCAGGTTTCGGAGCAGCGTGCTTCTGATTAAGAGCATTTACAGTTGAATCAGATAGTCAGTGCTAATTAATCGGACAGGGGAGTAGAAAGGGGAGCTGTCAGACAGCTGGTTTAACAGTTTGAGCCAGTCAGAAGCAAAAAGAAGCACTTTTGCGGACGTAATTTTGATGGGCACAATTACCCCGATTGACAACGCTGCTGCTGGTTGAAGCCATCTACTGCACAGATTCCAATACTTGTTGTATCTGCTTGTCATTTCAACACAAAAATATGTGAAAACAGGACCCAGATTTAAACATAATGAAATTACCCTTTAAGTTAAAGATCTGAGTCTGAGTGCTTAGTGCAGTAGAGGCCAGTACAGACAGCCGGGCCTCTCCGAAATGGTGTCATACAGTTTAAGTGGTCTCACCCTGCAGACGTCTTCTGGTGGATCAGGAGTTCAAAGCTGCAGTCAGGAGTGACTGAGGTCACCGGAGGTCACCTGAAGGAGGCCATGGATGGAGACACCCCACATCTACCCACACATACAAAAAGATTTACTACCAGAAAAACACAAAAGAAATACAGAATCTAGAAATGAAAGAACTGCTGAAGAATTGAACTGAGAGACAGAGATAATTAATTATAAATATTATTAATAAATGTCAAATACTCAAAGCAACCGTGAGCTCCAGCTGTCTCAAAACAGAAGAAAGAATGGAATTTGTTTGGGGTTTTTAGCAAACGACTGGGTGTTTACACTCTACAATTAAAAGCTAACAGTTAGTGGATATGATAGGAAAAAAAGGAGCATGCTGATTTGCAGTCTTTCTTCCAAGGTTTTGTGTCATCAGAATCAAAATCTACTAATTTTGTAGTGTTGAAACATCAGTAGTGCCTAATTCACTTGCACGTTGTTGGAAGATGCACAGAGAATTCAATATATTTTATACAGTAGACTCAAGATATTTAAATTTGACTACTTTTAGGCCGACACAAATAATGACTAAAAATTAAGAACTGAAAAGTCTTGACCATGTGGGGTTTTGTTTGCTTTTGTTTAGAAGATAAAATATCATCTATCAGAACTTGTAGGATTTAGTATTTCCCCACCAGAAGGTCTTTCCTGGCGTGTGCAGGAGGCCCAAAGCTAAATCTAAAAGCTTCTTATTCGTTGCAAAAATAAAATGCACAATATGACTTGTAATTGTATAATATAATTGTATATAATTGCACATTTTTCTTTTTTAAATTCTTGATTCTTGACATCTGTAGTACTTGTTTTTTCTTACTTTTATTGTTATGCACCAAAACACATTTCATGTACAGTGTGTGGAAAGGTGTGGAAACCTACTTGGCAATAAATCTGACTGTGATTATAATGGCAATTTAATTCAACAGTTAACTGAATAAATAAAATAAATAAACCATTTTACAACTATTGTATATTTAAAAAATCTAAATAAAAATGTGGCTGTGGGGATGGGACTCAATATTTGTAAAATTCTTGGATGTAGTCTGGTCTCAAGTCATGATTTACAATTACAGCACCTCAACACAAACATATACAAGATACTATAAATAAAACACAGAATAAACAGACCCGTGCACACGTAGTTTTTATCTGCAGGGATTTTACCTTGTTGAATGTTGACAATAAACTAAGTTCAACAGAAATACACTTAAACATGTCAAATGAAGACAGAAACAGAGGGACATGTAGACCTATTCATCTGTAACGAATAGAGCAGAATAGATTTTAATTGATCCAGCCTCTGCTTCACGCTCACGCTCCAAAGCTGATTAACCTGCTTCGGTCACGTTAGGCTCCCTGTCTGTCAGTAAACATCTCACCATAACACTTTCACTCTTGTGCACAAGAGTTCAATCTTTTATTTCTATTTATTCATTTTTTGTATTTTTGCTTTGGTGCAACATGTCGCATCTTGATTGTGGGGAGTAACGAGCAGCCAGAATAAAATACCCACGGCATACCGACCTGGGAAGACTTGAAGGCTCCGCGTGAGAACGATCCCTTCCTCCGACCTCCGTCCGCCGCTCTAAGAGGTTGCACCCCGGCGGGAAGGTGCACCGTTTACCGTGAATCGGTTAAATTTAGCGGATCCGTTATTTTCCTCTCTCTCTCTCCTCCGTTAATTCCGGGACGCTCCTCTGCGCGCCTGTAGGGATTCAGGAGCGTCACTGTGCGTAACCTCACGCGCAACGCAACGCTCCGGTTAAACCATGCACTGTATACAAAAAGGGTTAAACGCTGCTGGCCCGGAATGACCGAAATAACTGCACTTCCTGTTTAGAGGTCTAGGTTTCAGAATAAAAGTTTAAACTGATAATTAATTAAAAAGGCTTATTTTCAACGTCTGGCCATATTTAATTTAATTAGTATTAAATGAACAAAATACTCGTAATATTTGTAATACTGTTAAATAATGTAACATTAAAAATCTTAACATTACCTTAACCTATTATAACAGGATGTGGTAATTTGGAACATACAGGAAATTTAATTTAACTCTTCTGAACCTAAAAATTTACATTTACCTACTAATGAAAACACCTTAATATGAATAAACTTTAAAATCAACAGCCTTAATAATAACTTAGCAATTTGTGTGGGTGCTAAAATCACAACACTCCATTGATTGGGACATATTAGTGGCTATAGTTTAACCCTTTATGCATTTTCAGTCTTTCTGGTGGCCTTAAATGAGCCATATTTGACAATATAAACATTTTCAAAACTACATCTGCCTTCTTAATGCTGCGGCCCAAGAAGCATGAGATAAGATAAGATCAGACATCACAGGTTGCTATATGCCCAAAAGGGTTTATTACACTTTTCAGCTGAACATGAAGGTCACAGAAACAAAACTTCCAAGAACTTTTCAAGTGCAAACATCTTACTGACCAGGTTTTGAAACAGTATTTCAACATAGCATTCAGTATTTTAGTTAGACAGTGAGCGAAAAAATCCATTTCCCAACCAACCTATTAAGCAACCTTACTTTTAATTCTTGTGACAGATATGGGAAAGAAAAAACTGTACGAAGCTCAACAGAACAGACATGTGGAAACAAACCAATGTGTTCAAACATGTAATAATCTGAATTATGAAAAAGTGTTCATATTATGGCTTCAATTGTATTGTTATTGTGTCTGTGGTTTTTTTCTGCTGCTTTATGTTCAGAGGACTGATACCTTCTGGGAAAATGAAGGACTAACTTTAATGGTAAGAAAATGGTCAAACAAAAAAAATTATCTATCAGTGTATGTATTAAAGAAAAAAAATATATGGTTGAATTTGAACATTTGATATGATCCAAATCTGTTGAGCTACGCCTCAGTAAAGCAACACAGCAACATGCAGTGAAGAGGAAACACGTGACTGAAACACATGCAGACAGAGTGGTGGCTTGTGCAATGAATTCATACATAGGAACAGAATCCGTGGTGTTTATAAAGTCACTAACACAAAGAAACACAAGAAAAAAGTCCAAAGCACAAATACACAGGAGAACTGTGCCTACACGCACACACGTAATCCAAAAATAAAAGACAAAAAAAAAAACAAAATAACGCAAATATGTCAAGTATAAAACTCTGGGAAACACTGTCCCCGATAAGTTGTTCCACCCTTTAAGTGAAATATGAGAGACACTGCCCTCGATAAATACACACTACGTAAAAACACACACACACACACACACACATATATACATACGGGTAGGTAAAAACTACCATTACTGCTTGTCATTATGGAAGACACTGCTCCCGATAATGGGTTTTAATTATGGAAGACACTGCTCCCGATAACTCGATCATGTTATTAACTGCTCCAAAGTAGACTGTGCAACATAAATGGCTTTCTTGCAAATTACTGAACAAATCAGAGTTGTTGCACTAAAAATGGAATTTGATAAGGTTTGTTTATGGTTTCTTGGTGGCTTTGTTTTTTTTTTCATCCTGCCATCAATCGCAGATTAAATCCAATCAAACACAGTTTATCTCTGGGCTTGTTGGTATATTAATATAAATTTCATAATATCAAGACAGTTTCAGTTTAATGTTTGTTCTTAGTGTAGTTTTTGACAGATAAATGTAAATACTAACACACATTTCCAAGAAAAACTATTTTCTACCCTTCATTTCTCCCTTTTAATGCTTTTTAATTAACCATTTCAATGATCAACGGAAGCGCCACTTCACGTCACTTTTTTTTTTTTTTTAAACACAAATTACCATTTTAACTGGGATCCACACAAAAGGAAGAAATGAAGGTCATTCAAAATTCAAATCTTAACTTCATCAGGGGCTCCATTTTGTAAGCAACAGTTGAGGAGTCATTTTCTGTAGCAGATGCTGCCAGAGGATTAGACAGTATAACCGTCATAATTATGGAAGGCACTGCTTCCGATAACGTCGTATAAAAAGACAAACAATACATTTATAGTGGACACTGCCACTGATAAATAAACTTAAGTATAAATAAGGTTTCTCAGTGTTTGGATGGCAATAGGTCGCAGCTAAGGCTTTGACTGGTCCGAGGTGTTGGAGAGGAGGCAGATTTGTCATGTTTCATTTCTTCAAGTACTTGGTTCACATTTTTTGAGAATGTGTTTTATATTTTCTACCTCCTCCTGATCTTAGTGGGATCGAGACCCCCCAAAAACTGATAATAAGCCTGTTCTTAAAGGGCGAGACCTAGGCCGGTGATTGATAGCTTGTGCTTAAGTGCTGATTATTGGAGCTCCTATCTCGGCTCTACCTCATATTTAATTTCACACACACACCAACGCCAAACAACTCCCCGTCCATTTTCTTTAGATTTCGTTGTCGATTTCCCAAATGTTGCCCACCATGGCGTTGGCACATCCCTCCAGGGTCCAGGTGGCCAGGGCCAGTCGGGTGCGGAACTTATTCACGTCGGCGGTCTCCACGATGGATGCCAAAGTGTGGGAGCCCCGGCCCAGCAGGAGGTGACGGAAGGGGTTCTCGATGGGGGACACATAAGGAGAGAGGAGGGTGTGCTCAACCTAGAATTATAAAAATAAATTTAAAAAAAGACCATAATACATCGGTGAGGTGTTAAGATGTTTAAATGTGCCAAGACATTAAAAGTAGCTTCAAGATGTTGCAGTGTTATTACAGTACCGGTCTAGCTAATGCAACAGCTCTGGCATATTAGAGAGACAGTAAAAGAGCTCTGATTCTTAATCCAACAAATCATTGAGTCCTTCTAAATCCCAACTTACAGTATCACCACACTACATTTTTACTGTGCACTCTCAGGTTCATACATTAAGTAAAAAATGTTTAAAGGGGATTTATTATGCTTTTCCATATTTTCTGGGATGTCTATAATGTTAAAATGTCCACTGTTCATGTTAACGTGGCCAAATCGTCAAATAAAGAGGTAGGAGTATTTAAAAGAAATCCCTGTGAGCCAAAACCTCAGATTTCTCCCTGCTCTGAATGCTCAGGTTTCAACATTTCTTTCTACTAAAGGCTGGGTATGACTTCATTCAAAGCCGGTTTTCCATATATGGTTATTTGCTCCAGGCAGAGTACGCAACGGGGTGTACTCTGCCTGGCACTACCGTTGCACTACCACAAATGCTCAGATTTGTACTTTTTTTATTTATTCTTTGACCAGACTTCTGATTTAAAATTGTACATTTTGCCAATTGTGTTCATCAAAAAAGGATTCTGTAGAAAAACGTGTTTATATTCCTCAAAGTAAAAGCGTTCCACCATTGATATGTTTTAATTTTTTTTTACAGTCGCAGGAAAAAGTACACACACACACACACACACACACACACACACTTGCCTGACCTGGTCTTGTTTAGTGCAGTGGTGACTTGCTTATACAAACTGAGGAGGCACGTGTCATCCTAAAGTTTCTTGAAGGTCTTCAGCCTAATCTGATTCACTTTAAACCACAGAAACACTATTAGTATTAAAGTAACTGCAAATAATCTTTCTCAAAGAGCGTTCGCATCAATGGCTCCTCCATTTCAAAGTCCCGGGCTGACTTTCAGTCCCAGTACATTCCTGCTCCTCCTTGTTTAACCTTGATAGTTAATATTATTGTAACGGTTAAAAATTCAACCCTGTTTTTTAAGAACTGAATTTCATTAACAACATTTTAATACAAATGTGGCTACACAGCAGAGTAATCACAGTAGAGCATCTTACACTCATGATCCTGTCGTTGAGGATGCGACAGGCCTCCTTGTCATCCAAGTCAGTCTTGTCGAAGGCTTCGTTGATGCTGGAAGCAGCTCGCTGGAACGAGCCGCGTGCTCGGTTTAGCCAGCTGGGATTCACTTCCTTCAGCTGACCAGACTGCAGAACAAAAATTCAACATATACACCTTTCTGAGAACAGACGTATTCAGTCAAAAACATAATTCATAAAACAATATAAACAATCAAGCACACGCACTATAGCGCTTGTAACCTGGAACACCGATTCTGATTCAGATGGAAGGAATTATTAGAGCATAAAAAATGTCTGACAGAAAGAGAGACCGACCTGTGAGAGTTGGTTGATGTGTCTGTAGACCTTGGCCACACCCTTGGCGAGGACGCTGCTGTATCGGCTCACATCCAGGCTGAGCCGGTGGTCGTGGACCAGCCGCAGAGCCATCTGGCCAGCAAACTGCGCCGCCACCGCTGCCATTTCACTGGTGCGACGGTTGGTTTGGAAATTGAGATTGTTCTTGTTGTCCAGGTCTGTGCCATAGTAAGGGTAGGCCTCAATCTTAAAAGGGGAACAAGATAGGACATTGTTCTTCATTTATGCCAGGGCTTTGCAATGTCTTAGACTGCGGGCCTCCCCTCAGACAAAGCCTGGGAAACAGCGGCCCCCACATCTTTAGTTTACGTGGTAAGTTTCACTCATTTCCTAGATTGAAATAACTTCTGACTACACCAAATAGTTTTAAAAAAAAGAAAGGTCTGTCCTAAGGCATTTATTAGTTTCTGACTGTGATGGGGGGAAAACAGTTCCCAAAAACTACTGTATCTCTGAACTCTCACACATGTCGGCTATTCTATGTGATCTCCTTTTGATAACTAATGCAATAGGTAATGTAATAATGTTTCACTTCCATTCACTGAGCCTCCCCTGAAACTGTTTGGAGCCCCTCTTGGGAGGCCTGCCTCACACTTTGAAAACCCCTGATTAAAGCCATTAACGCTGATTTTTACATTTAAAAAAATAGAAGAGTAAATTTCCGCTGTTTGTTTTTCCAGCAAGACTCACTTTGGGAGAGGTGAAGTGGAAAGAGATGGATGGAATTCCAGAGAAGGCGAGGAAGGGATAGGCAGGGTCGTCCATTGACATCGGCCTCAGTCTGCACACATAGTAATGTAAAGTTATTGTACATGGATAGTAGCAACAAAAAGAACTGGCTGTAGGACTGGGTATCAAACCGCATGTTTTCTTTTTTTAAACTTAATGAAACTTGACCCAAAGACTGGCAACGGCCTGTTCACATTTGTTTACTTACTCTTACATCACATTGCTGATTTAAATCAAATGTGCCAATTTTAGGCTGCATTTTCTTCAGGCAAAGCTCTTGTCAAGCTGCCTGTGTTTAGACAAACGGCACATTTGAGAATAAATTTTTTTGTTATTAAATAAAAAAAACAAAACAAAAAAAAACAAACTGTATTGCTTCCATAACTTTCATTTCTAAAGACCACGCAACACGTAATGGTTATCTACTTACGCATTGGTCTCCCATTTACTTTCCCCCACCAGGTCGTACACAGTGCCAGAACCAAGAGGAACCTTCACCTGTGTGGACGAGGCAAAGTTAATACAAACTCTACTGATTCCTATAGAGCTGCGTCATTAGCAAGTGGGTTCTAGTGCTGTTACCGCTTTCATCGTCTTCTCGAGGAGGCTGTACAACAGCGGACTTGCTGAGGCCATAAAGCTCCCATTACCTTGTGAGTAGATAAACTCAGTCAACTGACAACCACTGAAAAGCATTTGAGTGTAGCGATATGCTGCAGGTGTGTCCTGTACTTACCCATGACCACTCCATCCAGGCTTATGTAGGTGACAACACGTTTGTCAACTGAGGATATAAAACTCTAAGAACAAACACAGACATATTAAAGAACAGAGCAGCGATTAACCTTTGTTTTTTTTTACATTTAGATCAGAGATATTTAATTCTTACCTCCAACCACTCAGTGGCGCCAACACTTCCATACTCTCCGGCACTCCAGCTTGCAAACACCAGGCTTCTTCTGGGCCTGAACCCATCTGGAAAAACAGAACAACATTGATCATAAAGAAAAAGAGACTGCTAAACCTACACACACACTGAAACGGCAAGTTGAAAAAAAAGATACTCCGTATGTAGTCTTCTCCTCTTCAGCGACGCAAACATCTGACTGCTATAGTAAAAGGATATGTTCAAGTCTGTCTTTGCTTCCTGGGATCATCCCTCCTTAATATTTACTATTAAAAACCATTTTTCCAACATGCTTCCAGCATTAAGTGATGGCAGATTGACTTGTGGAAATAAAGTGGAAATCTTCCTAAGTGACTTTTCATTATAAAACCCTCTTTTGTTTCTCTTGACAGTGTTTCTGCACTCAGCTGCAGTGGAGGGAAAGTGACAAAAAGAGGGAATTTTGTACAAATAACTATGTAATTTTTAAGCTCTCCACATGATGTGACTGAATGAGGCTGCTGAAGCCTCAAATTTCAAAAGCCTTTGTAATGTCCTGTATTTCTTTGTCCCCTTCACTTACACTGGAAGCGTATTAAGAGGGGAGAAAGAAAAACCTTTCATGTTCATTTGGATACCTGACGTTAAGACAGACAACATAATTCTAGTCATTGCATGGAACAGTCTGGAACAAAGTTATGAAACAAACTGGACTTTTCCACCATTGTGTTACTACGGGGACTATAAATTAAACACAGCCTGATACTTTTATCTAGTGAAGTAGTGGTAATATATATCACAATCTACAGCAGGACTCCCGTTTACACATTGGCTCAAACATAAATCTTGCTTAAAAGCAAGCCTCTCACTAATAGTACTAAATAAAAATCACACTACAAGATTGTTATAGGAGAAAACGGTTCAATTTTATTATTCAGGCTCATGAGCCAATCCTTAGTGTAGTAAACACCCCCAATTTATCTCTATTTATATTCACTTCCTTTCACAGACCTCACTCCCGTTACCTTACTTCCTTTCCTTTCTCATCATTATTTGTCTCCCGCTTTCACCTTTCATTCCTCCTCATTGACCTGATTGAGTTCACCTGTTCACACTTAATTTAACGACTGCAAAAAAGTCACATCAATAGTAGTTATATTTAATTAATAAGTGAATGTTCCTCTCAGAAACTTTTGGTAAACACAGACTGTTTTCTTGGATGGTGCACTTAATGTCTGGGGTCCTCCCCCATAAAAGACTTAATTTCCCGCATTCTGCAAAAAATTTCTGCACAAATTTAAGGTGGAAATGCTTTTATTTATATAAAAGGGAAACACAAAATTCAGATGGAAGGTGAAAATTCTAAATATATCAGAATATAATGCAGTAAGGCTCTCAGGTATTCTTTATTGCTTTGTTTCTCCTGTAGATCAACTTACTTAAAATCATCCCTGCTGAGTCAACACACACAAGTTAGTCTTCCCTCCTCTTTGTGTCTGTTGTTTGGGGAAGTAACCTCTTTCAATGCGATTGTGGCACCTTTTCTCCTCAATGATAAATTAATTAATTTCAACTCCTGGAGCTAGCTCCTCTGTTTTAACACGTTTTTCATGTATTTAAATGGGATAACTGCGGGATTGAACGGTAAACGGTTGACAGGTAGCCTAAGCAGCACTGTGATCAGGTAGCGATCTCACCACAAATCCACATGTTAACTTCAGCAGCTCGGATAAAGTGCAGTAAATAACTCCTCAGTTTTAACGTTACCTTTCTTTAATTGAAACTCTACATGTCAAGTTACCGCTTGGACACAAACTCAATGCTATTCACAGCGAGAGGTGGGTCCACTTGATTAATGTCACGGCACTCGCTGGTGTCACATCAGGTGCTGGATGCTAAGTTGCTTTCAGGGGAAGTCCGACAGCAGAATATTCCCCTTGTGAGTGTGTAAACACGGCGATAGAAAGGCGTTCACGGCATATTCATCAGAGAAATTAAAGCTTAAGAGAAAGATATTTTTCCATGGCAATAATAAAAAAAAGAGTGTCAATTTTCCAGAGTTTACACAGCATGTGGCTGAAATTTCACAGCTGCCACATGAAGATGACGGAAACACTGAATAGAAGAGTAGTTACGATTCACACAGTCTCGCAGTGGAGTAAACTGGCAGGTTTTAATGTTGCAGACCACAGTTTTTTGCAAGCAGTTTAAACTCGTATTGTTGTGAATCTTTGGTGTAAACTCACTTTAAAACTTTCATCTCAACAAACGCCCCCCAAAAGCAGCTCAGCGCCGCCCTTTCCAAAATGCTGCTTCCAGCGCCCCCATCATCTTCTGAATGCCCCCTGGGGAGCGGTAACACCCCCGTTGAGAAACACTACATTAGACAGTTGCTACAAACTAACAGTGCAGGAGAGAAGTAGTGTATTTAATGAAAGAAATACCTTTGAACATTGACACTACACAGAAATCATACAATAAAGATCAGAAAGTCAAAAACAGAGACGCCTTTGAGTTGCCACTCTTCAAACATGGTGTCATGTCCTTTTTAATCACTGCTAATCCCTTGTGTATTGTGTACAGTATGCAAAGTATTATATGTCTTACCTTTCTCCACCATCTCATGAACAGCCTTAGCCAGCTCTACGAGTACAGAGGTGCCGACAGTGGCTCTGGCAAAACCACTACCCCAGGCGTCTCTCTGAGCTCCCAGTACAACGTAGCGATCTGCAGATTCACATACAGACACCAAAGCACCACAAACACTTAGATACACGATAAAGGAAAAAAAATAAATCACACTGTGGAGGGAGGGAGTTTAGTTCTACCAGGGTCAATGAATCCTTTGATGACTCCAAACACATTGGGGATCTTCCTGTTGACCAGCACGTTGTTCACCTCGACAGTGATGTTCTTGCTGCCTCCCAGACTGTAAGCCAGCGACTCAAAGCCGCCTTTAAAACCGCTGCTTTCATCTGATTCAGGGCCACCGATTTTCCTAGAGAGGACAGAGAGAGGCAGGCGAGGAACAGGTGAATTTACCGCTTTGGAAAGCTTTCCAGTTTCCAACTTTTTCAGGCAATTTAGCAAATTTACTGACAGAATGACAACGTTTGATAGTAAAGTCAAATATTTGGAGCAAAACATATCATGAAGGAAAACCCTTCCAAAACACATGTATGAAGATACATACAGCACATGATCCTACGGGTGGTGACATGGAGAGAAGTCTTTATTTATATCAAGATATCAATAACAACAGAAATACAAATATTTCCTAGAACCTTCCTAAAAACTCCAAATAAATAAACATTACAAAAAATATTGGTAAAAAATAATCCAACTAACTAAAAATCCACTATCTGGTACCTGATACCTATAGCATGTTTTACCATAAAAAATAAGAATGTTGTTTTTTTTCATGATCAGTGAGAATATATGTTTTATAAACACCACTGACAGGATATACATATTTTTTTCTGCTGAGTAGACGGTAATAACAACAACATTAGTCATTTAGCTGACGCCGTTATCCAAAGCGACTAACAATTGCTATATATGTCAGAGGTCACACACCTCTGGAGCAACTAGGGGTTAAGTGTCTTGCTCAGGGACACATTGGTGGACGTGTCACAGTGCGAATTGAACCCAAGTCTTCCAGACCAAAAGCATGTGTCTTTTCCACTGCACCATCACCACCCCAGATATGTCATCCAAGTAACCAGAAGATCTGACAAAGGGTGTGTGTGTGTGTGTGTGTGTGTGTGTGTGTGTGTGTGTGTGTTCTTACTGTAGAAGAGCTGAAGCTATGTTGGCGGTGATTGTCTGGGCTGGGATTTTGGGGAGGCCAGACGACTGAGTTGGGGGGAACTGGGTGCTGTTGAAGGAGGGGAATCCAGGGGTGTAGGGGTCGCCTGAACCCAGATGGACCTGAATAGGAGACACACACTCATACTCACTCACAAAATCAAGACATAACAGCATGCTGTACCAATGGATGTCAAACAGCTATGTGTGCACACTTACATGCCCGTAGAGTGCTGTGCCCGCAAGATATGGGTAATCTTTCCTGTCAGGGTAGATCAGAACAGCAGACGCCCCCTTTGTGGCAGCGTTATCCACCTGTAGAAACATGAAGACAGGCTTTTAGTTACGTTTCTGGAGAACAAAGGAGGAGTGTGAAGGCGTAAAATCAGCAAATACCTGTTCCGCAAAACTGATCTTTCCAGCTCGCAGCAGCAACACACACCCTTTCAGCTCAACGTTCTTCTTCTGCAGAACCTCCAGATCCTCCTGACGACCATAGTTGCCATACACCAGCTTCCCCTACAAACACAAACACACCAGAAAGCTAAAAGTAACATTTTTGTGGCCTTATAGACTTTTATAAGAACATCTGACAAGTATGTTTAAACAAAAAACAGATTTTCATTGAAAAATCAGCAAATGGTTTGTTCTTTGAATATTTTGTTAAGTTATTTTAAAACCAAAACAGAAAAATGGAAAACGAAGAACAAAAAAAAAAAAACAGACATTTTTGTTTTTCCGTTTTAAACTATCTGGTACCTAATACCTATAGTATGTTTTACCATAAAAAATAAGAACGTAGTTTTTTTTTTTCCCCAGGATCAGTGAGTATGTGTTATATAAACACCACTGTCTGCCGCTAGAAAAAGAAATTCAAGTTAAATTTTTAGCAAGATCGTGTCAAGCTGGCTTTGAACTCACAATTCCTCACTGAGGCGTGTTGCTTTGCCAGCGGGCCAAGTCAGCTACTGATTTAAGTTTGTCAACATCCAGGTAGCATTTTGTTTAGGGCTTATCTGAAGCAGCTGGTTCCCTGAGCGATCAAAGAAAATTCCCAAATGTGTTTATCAAGTTTTTTTTTGTCGAGGCTATGGCCAGGGTGCGAACTATGCGGGAACCAGGGTGAGCTTTACTCCTCTTAATAAGACGTAAAATTCCCTGAAAACATGATTTGTGATATTTAGGAGGGTTTCTAAAATATTGACAATATGCTATTTTTGCCATTCATTTCTATTTTTCTGTATCATCATGCATTATGCGTAAATCAGGAGTGTGGGGCTTCGTCCAGCCAGAGGGAACGATTACCGACCGTCCGCAGCTCGGTAGGTCCCTTCCGCGACCTCCTCTCCCTGGCCCTGGACACTCCAGCGACGGTCAGTGGTCGTTTCTCTGGCTGGATGAAGTCTGATTATATAGTCTATTTTACGCATAATGCATGTGTTACTGCAACTGGAGGCTCTCTGCAGCGTCGCGCAACTTTCTAAATTCTCCCATCTCACGATGAAAATAAAAGGTCAGGTCGAAACAGTGTAGAGGGGCTGAATGACAATTAACCGAACCTTTTAATGTATGATTTGTTAATATACAGCTCGCAGAATTAACTCATAACAGTTCATGCTTACTACCATTTGATGTACTGACAACTATCACTGAATTAATTTGATACTGAAGAAATCTTAAAAAACAAAGGATTATCAGGAAAGCATTCCCGTTCCTGTTGCTAGTGAGTTACAAAGTGAACTAACAAAAACCCCACTTATGTTGGTGTTCAAGCTCATTTAATTTCACCAAATTGTATCTGCTGCAGGTTTATCAAGTGTAACACACAAAGCTACACTAATCGGACACATAAAATATCAAAATCAATATTTTTTTTAAAACAGAAAAATTTAAAACGATTTCAAATGAAATAATCAAAGAACTAAGTATCAACTTGCCTCAACTGTCCCAGGAGCACTGTAGGCCAGATATCCCGTAGGCTTGAAGACATCAGAACCAAAGAGGACACGGTTTGGCCTATTGCTGCCAAAAAGAAAACAAAAGCTGGTCACGGTATCATTAATTTGGTTTTATTTTGTAGGATATGTTGCATGTCACAGTGCCCCATTTCACATTGAACTACAGCGACATTTTTAAGTATGGTCAAAGAAAATCAACCTGTCTGGCTGCTGCAGCTGAACGTAGTGGCTGTCAGTCCAGGGATCCATCTCCATTTTCTTGAATTCATCAAAGATGCGGTTTGCCAGACTCAAATCTTCCTCACTTCCTGCCAAACGTCTGAGCACATCAAAGTCACTGCGGAGAAACACATTTTAGTTCAGTTTGCTGACTGCTTGGTGATAAAAAAAATTAAATAACAGGGTTTTCATGAGACTAAGATGAAAAGGTGTTATAAACTTATTATAAGAAAAAGCTAACACCTTAAACTAGTGTGCAGTAAATAGATCAGGGCTTGATGGCCCAGTAAACACTTTCATAATGACTTTACGGTCTCAGTCGCTAGTTTCAAGTCTTCTTAAACACACAGCATGTCTTGACATGTTGCTACCATGGCAACCTGTCAATCAGGATAGAGGGACTTGTATCTGCTGCTCTGTGTAAAGTTTTTTATGAAATGGCTGTCAGCAGGAGAGAGAGCATGTCATGTTTGAGTCTGTTAGTATGTTTAGTTTTAACAGTAAAGAAATTTGTTAACCTTTTTATTTTTTATAGGCTAATTTTAACTGCAATTACGTTTTAGTTTAGTTTATATCCAGGATGCATTTAATAAACGATTAAACATGTTAAACAGAATAACATAGACTTGTCTTCGGTTTTGTTATAACGCTGATGGGTATTATCCCTTATATAATCACACTCACTTTAACCTTCCCCTGTCTTGTTTGTAGTCTCTGACTCTCAGCTGTGTAATACTCAAAAACAAAATGTTCTCATCCAGTTAATTTATATTTATTACTCATTTCCTTTTTCACAGGAAGCTGGAGGCTATAAAACTGTACCTGGCTGGTAAAAATCACTCTTATTCTTATTAACTGGGATTATTTACTTATTAATGAACTGGCAGTGGGTTTGTTTGATCGTTGGGCGTTTTTATGGTCCGGTGTGTTCTCTTCTGTAGGACGACATACACCCCAGTGTGGTTTAAGAGTGCGCATGGGATGAGCGTACCTCAGAGTTTTGTCAAAGGCCTGGCTGGTGAGTTTCTGCGTGAGGAGTTGGGTGATGTCCTTCCACTCCAGCTGAACTTGAGCATTTGGTGCAACAACGGATGGCGTCATTATCAGGCTATTTTCCCCGCCCAGCTCTGTGCCACAGTTCTTCTGCTCCACGCCGGGTTTGCTGATGTAGCCGATCAGGTAGCCTGGAGAACAGTACACAGACACCAGAACTGCTTTTTAAAAAAAGTTGGCAAGCAGCTTTCTAACTCTACAGGTAAACTCACAAAGACTATGAAAGTGGATCACTCAAGTTCAGACCTGTGCAATGGTTTCCTGTGTGCGAAAGAATTGATTTTAAAATTCTACTGTTGGTTTATAAAGTGCTGAATCATTTAGGTCTGGGACAGGTCTGCTTTAAGGCACCTTCAGACTGCGCAACAACGATTGTGAAGGTTTATTGCAAGATGGGTCCAATTTAATCTTGGTCATAATTTGGGCTACACAATTAATTCAAATACTATCGAAATTGCAATATGGCCAAGTGCAATAGCCAAAGAAATCATATTCTCCAGATGTGAGGGAACATGCTTGCTTCGTACGGACCACCACAAAACAAAAATCACATCATCATAATTTTAATATTCTTTTCTGCAAAAGTTAGTTATTAATTCCCACTTAAGTCCTGACTCAAAATTCACAATATGATTTATGTTTTTTTTAAATTTCATTCAGCCCTAGTTGACTGTGTGATATCAATCTGCGGCATGTCAGATTTTGCAATAAATGGTTGCGAAATCATAGTGGTACAATGTAAACAGAATAAAGTATGAGAGCAGAAGAACAACAGCTCAACAGTTCACATCATCCATGTGTGCAAAGAATTATTAAGCTTTGGACATAGTGCTGATTTTCTTCTCTTTTTTGTTTCACATTTGTTTTTTTTCCCTAAACAAGAGATTGAAAGACAGCGACATGACCTTGGAGAAAGTCTGATGGGCATTTTTCACTACTTTCTGACATTAATAATAGACTTAATTGATTAGTTGATATATTAATCGTTAGTTTCAGTCCTAATATCATTTAGAAAACAAATTTTAAAAAGGAACATGCTGACAGAAATTCAGACTTAACAGATTAAAATGATTATATGGCATACCTGTAAGAAAAATCAGCAGAGTTCCCAGGGCCAGGTAGCAAATGGTACGGCGGTTTTGATGCAGAGGTGCTGGCCTGAAGCTCGGAGAGCCCCCTGCCTCGGCCTCTGTGGCGTCATCTGTGGCATCATCAGACAGTTTGACCTCAACGTGTCTTTCTCCGTCCACCGCTGGCTGCAGCGTGAACCTGCTGTACCGCTCTCTTTTAATCTAGAGGGAGCAAGACCGGGTGAGCTAAGAATACAAACTGTGAGAGCAATGTGTTCCCGGTTCCACAGCTGCATGGGAGGACCGGTTAAATCAATTCACTCTAGATGCAAAAATAATAAAAAAACGAGTAAAACACAGTGTAAAACATCAAACACTAAATCTAAGAAATACTCACCATGCTGTTAAATGCAGACCTCACTCGATCCATTGTTGCTGCTGTTGTAATTCTAGAGACAGAAAGTGGAAGACAGAGGAGAGACGAGGTTGTAAGAGGCAATTAAGGAAAGCAAATGGAGGGGGGGGGGGGGGTACATGGTTTCTAACAAAGTTGCTATTCAGCTGACCGTTAAGGGTTGCTGTTTGCCTGCAGGGTGGAGAGAGATTTCTCGGTAAACAGGCTGACCTTTATTCACTGAGGGAGAAACCTAAACAACATATTTTTATATACAGTATAATGTGTTTGTATATCATGAGCGATATGAATCATTATTCTGGACACTTTTTAGACCAAATGATTCATATTCAAAAAGACATTTAATCAATGATGAATGCTATTTTCATAATGATTAAGTGTTCCCATCTAACGCCAACTATCAAATGTCTCAAAAGGCATTCAAGAAGACCTTCACTACACACTCACACACCTGGAAATGCGACCTTTAGGTAGACTTCGGTTTTAACACATCTTTGTTTCATTTATAAAAATGTCAAGCCTCCACCCCTCCCAACATCCTTTCAGATAAATCTTCTTCCTTGTAGAGGCGTAAATCTACCAGTTAATCAAACATTTCCTCATAACTGAGCTGAAGCAGGAAATACTTAATCATTCTTCCTCAAGACAGAAAACGTATTCAGATTTTCATCCAATCATTTACTCATTAAAAAAACATGGCTAGGGTCTAAGTTTCAGTTTCCCCCTCATAGATGCCCATCACAATTTCCCAAAGCAAGGTCGTCTTGATTTGTCCCATCAGCCTAAAACCGAAGATATTAAAGAAAATTCACATTTTGACTGATGAACATCTTATGAGCGAGCATCAAATTCATCATGAATCAATACAAATACATTTTTGCCAATAGAGTGATCAAATAATGGACTGTAAAACTGTGAAATGTCCCACACAGCACATGTCTTACGCACAACAAAAAGAAATATGTTCATTAATACCTTTTAATCGGCCAGTTATTTTCCTTCTTGTCACAATTTCCTTGATCAACCCCCCAAAATATTCAGCTTACTATAACGTTAATATAAAACCTGAATCTAGCACATGAATGAAACATGACTAAAATGATTGAACCATTATCATAATAATTAAATTAACTTTCGGTCATTGACACGATTAACTGGCCAAATCAAATCCTGGTGATGAAGTAATATAAAGCAAATCTTCTCACTCATCATCTTACGAGCTAACGTTACGTGTTTTTATATAAATTAATAAATAAAAACAGCTTGCAGGGGCCATTAGCAGCATCATTTCTAAATAAGCTAGTTAGCAGCAGCACGTGCTTCGTGTCCTCCGTGTCTTTTCAGTTGAGCGAAACATTACGTAAAAGGCAATGCTGCTCAAAAGATAGCTGATAATGTAAGCTGTAAACTAATAAAAAGATATGTCAATGTCAGGATTCTCACCTTCTTGCCGCTCAGCTTCGCACCATCTGCGTAAAGGTTCTTCCTGTACTTCTGCCTACGTAATCTCGCAATGACTTACGTAGGCCAGTCACACGGGAGCACGTAGGCCAGTCACACGGGAGCACGTAGGCCAGTCACAGGGGAGCACGTAGGCCAGTCAGAGAAGCGCTCTTCTTCTTTTATTCGGCAGACTAGACGCATCTTTTGCTGCCCTCCACTGCTCGATATTCGTTATTCAGATCTTCTTCAGATCATTTTGTGTAATCCAGTTTTATGTAGGTGCTCCATCAGTTTCTTCATTTTGTTCCAACTGTCCAAATTAAGTAGAGTGCGTAGGTTGAATATAGTTTCTCCAGCTGCTCACAAAGTCTCTGAATAATTTCCTTCTTTCACGAGAGTACTTTCTGCAGTGAACTAATACATCTTTACCGTTTACTTGTCTCCACATTTACATTTAGGCTACTCTTTCGTCCTGCACCGCCTTCTTTGCCACCTCATCTATTTCCTCATTACCCTCCACAGCTGTGTGTGCCAGAACCCACAGAAACCCCACCTCATGCCTCATACCACAATTTCCATAAGTAAATCAGGTCTGGTCAACCCACCTTTATGCCCATAAAACTGCCACCGGCTCTGCTGTGAATACTGACAAGTGATCTGGAATCCTACACCCTTTTTATTACCTATTTCAGGAATGCTAATACCAAAAGCCACTTTACCGCTCTCAGGATCCTTTGACCCGTTTTGTAGGTGGCCTCCCCATATTTGACACAGCCGGACTTTCATCTCCTTCAGTACAGCCTCTGACATCTGTCTTTAGCTTGTTTTCAAAAAATATAAATCAACATTGGGATCTGGGATCAACCATGAAGGTATACCTCAACGACGTATTGGTGGACATGCATTCAAATTCACAATACCAATTTCATCTGCCATAGATTTGAGTTTTTCTGTAAAGTTTGTTTTGACCCTTCTTGCTGTTCCCATAAGCTCCCACTGCGGACTCAACAGGCTTTTTGTTGGTAGTCTTCCTATTTCTAACGGCATCTCCCTTGTTTCTATTAATAGTGCTGGTAGTGTGTACAAAATGACCCACTACACACTCTAAGGGCTTTTGCTTGGACTATATCAGGTTGACTAATCACTGAAGGGGCTGCTGACCCATATACCATTCAGCCATAATCTTATCATTGCTCTGTGTATCATCATCATAGATTCACTATCAGCCCCCCATTCAGACCCAGCTACACACCTTAGGACAGGGCTGGATTGGCAATCTGGCATACCGGGCAAATGCCCGGTGGGGCGACGCATAAATTTGTCCCAGTCCAGCCCTTAGGACATTAATTATTTCCCCACACTTCATAGAAACGATTTCAATATGCTTTTCTATATCATTCTTTTGTCTAACCACATTCGTCAAAATTTAAAGTATTTCACTTTTTATTTGAAACATCTGTGTTGGCATTTTCTTCCTATGTCCAAATATCATGTACTTTGTTTTTTCTGTAGATATTTTAAAACCCCAATCATTAGCCCACTCAGTTACTTTTTCCAATCCAGCTTGTATTTGGCCAAAAACATAGGACAGGTTCCCTCGCTTCCAGATGGCCCCGTTATCTGCAAACAATGAAAACCTAAATTCTTTCCCCACTCTACTGAACATACCATTGACTAATATATTAAAAAAGAACTGGGCTTATTACATTATCTTGAGGGGTTCCATTCACCACCTCAAGCTCCTTTGATAATTCACTTCCCACCCTCACCTGAATTGTCTCTCTAAAGCACTCTGTGGGAGTAGTGACATTTACTCGAATGAGGTACTTGTACTTTACTTGAGTATTTGCATTTCACACTACTTTATACATGTAGTCCACTAAACTCAGAGATGAATACAGGCTATTCAATTATTTTCAAGAGGAGCAGAGATGAAGTAGGGTTCTACTATGAAGTAGGCCTACATGTTCAAATATTGTAGGTAGGTAGGTCGGCTTTCTATTGCTCCTCTGTAAAAGCTGACAAGAACTTGCCTTCTTAAGCTTCCTCAAGAAGTTTCTGAGCTTTCTTCACCAGCGTGGAGATGTGAGATGTGTGAATATATGAATGTGAATAGCTATATTTGAATATGTATTTTCTGTGATTATAGATTTCTTATTTTATTTCTTCCTACTGCTTTTCGCACATGTAAAATGTTTTTCATTTATCTGACACGTGTAATTACTTTGCAGAATAAGATTTTACATTCAAAACAAATGTTCAGTTTATAAAATGTGATGTATTGAGTCATTTTAGCCCTTAACTGAGTCTATAAAATGTAAATACCTTTTTTATAAAATGTAAATACCTTTCCAACTGTTTTTATTTTTTTCCCTCCAAAATATTATTGTTCAAGTATTTTTAAAATATTATTTTTTAAAATAATTTTAGAGAAGCAAACTGCCGTATACATTCTCATTTCTAGAATTTTTAACAGACAGATTTAACAAACAAAATCCTTGCTGATATTTTATGAATAAATACTGTATAATACCGTGTTATTATCCTTTCTTGTTTCAAGAGACAGACAGTAAAGTATTCCTCTCTAGAGCATTTTTTAAAAAGTTGATTTAAAACTCCAACAAAAATATCCTTACTGCAATTTTAACAAAATTAGGTTTGCAGGACACAGAAGATACAAAATAAAATGCATAATGCAGAATTTTACTTTTGATACTTTAAGTAGCCTATTTTATTTGTTGTTTATAAAATATTCACCAATGCATCATGCACCATCATCGGCCGGATTTCAAACGATGAGACTTCATATTGGGAGGAAATTAATAATCTTGTAGAGTGGTGTACCGAGAACAACCCACTGCTCAACATCAGCAAAATTAAGGAGCTGATCGTTGATTTTAGAAAGAAGGCGATAAAGACACACGCTCCTCTCTACATCAGTGGAGCTGACGTGGAGCAGGTGAAAAGTTTTGGGTTCCTGGGAATCAGTATCACAGAGAACCTGACACGATCATCTCACATCTCAACGCTGGTGATGAAAGCTCAGAAACAACTAGAGGAAGCATGGCATGGGATGTGCACGGCCCAGGAAAGGAGGGCTCTGCAGCGGGTGATTAAAACTGCTCAGAAGATCATTGGTACCCATCTCCTGAGCATCAGTAACCCCGTGCTTACTAAACCTCCGCTGAAACTAACACAGCAAAGATAGTTACCAAATGTTTACCTAACTAAAGAAACAAAATCACGATCAACACACACTTCTGTCAATCATCCCCATAGACCCCAATGACCTATTTAAAGTAATATCTTCTAAAGCAAGTCTTTATGATATAAATAAATTAACAAGCTAAAAATATTTATTTCAAGATTTGTAAGAAATTTAAGCAAGAGATTTTTTCTATTTTTCTTATAAGAAGCAATAAACCACTAGTCAACATTATTAATTGGCAACGTGAAATTAATAATATAATGTTAGATGCCTTTATTACTGCTGCCTTCAAGTGCTACGGGAAATATTTTGGTTGCTCATGAAATGTATTAATAACATAAAGTAAATCCAGTGACACCACAGCTGCTGAGATTGTTCTGGGGTGTGACATCGAATATATTTTTAAGGAGTGATAATTTTTTCTGCTCTATTAACTCTGAACTGGGAAATATTTTATTGAATAAATATTTTTTGCAGTGTCTCACAACAAATCTTCGCTGATTAGGGGTGCTTGACAAGTTTATAATAAATACTTGATCCTTAATTTAATTTAAATAGATAATAATCCCAACAATTACACCTAAGACATAAGATATAAACCTATGTTGCCTGAAACCACTTTAAACAAATGTCCGTTTTAAGCATGTAAAGCGAAACAATCTTTTTAACCTTGACCTTGCTGGCTGTAATCTCCTGAGTTTAGACACACAGAAATTCAGTTGTTGTTGGCACACAGAGTTTAATCCTGTTTGGCTCTCTATGCCCTTCAGCCATCTCCATCTTTTAACTGCAAGATTCAAGATTCAAGACTTTTATTGCCACAAAAACAATCACAACATTACAGTCAAGACACCCCCACCCCACAAAACATTACATCCATGTAACGTAAAACATTAAAAGTTAAAATGCCAAGTGCTTTAATAAAAAGTAGTAGTTGGTGCTTTGCTTTCACAAAGTACTGGTGCAGAAAACCAGAAGTGGTTTTAGAATAAGTGCTGCTGAGAAAACAGGATGCTTTCATTTTAATAGCCCTGAGTCTTTTTCCTGAGGGGAGAGTCATTAGCTGTGGGTCGACGGGGTGCTTCCTCAGCTGAGCTGTGGAGTTGCCATACCAAAGATATAAAGAAGGTGTGAACACTTTCTACTGTGGCACTGTAGAACCGCAGCAACCCCTCTCTGGACAACCCAAACGTTTTGAGCTGAGGTGGAGTGGAGGCTGTCCTCTCCATCCAACTCCAGGCCATTGAAGGTCAGTGGCAAGAGAGCCTTCCCATCTCTCTTACAGTGGTTTTGAGTTTTGGAGATGTTCAATTTGTAGAGATGGCAGCAGTCAACCAGAGATAAGACCTTGTTCCTGTAAGCTGATTCATTGTTGCATGAGATCAGACCTTTACTGCAAATGTCAACATTTTAACAGAGTTGCAATGTGATAAGCAGTCGTTTGTTTGCAGTGAGTACAGGAGAGGTGATAGTTGGGTGGGGGGGGTGCTTGTGTTTGTGTGCTGGGTTTTAGAGATTATATACTATTGTTTATTTTGACTACATGTGTCCTAAGCTGTAGGAAGGTCAAGGTCATGCTCAAGGTTTTGTAGGTGATACTGTATTCAAAGCAGAGCCGTAGTCCTCAGAGAGACTGTGCTTCTCAGTGCTGCAGGATGTGAGACAGGGGACGCAGCATCCCCTGCAGACCTATTTGCCCTGTATGCAAACATGTAGGGGTCTAAACTGACCACCCTGGACATAATAGGCTCTTAAAGATCTATTACAGATGTTAATGCAACAGGTTTGTAATCATTCAGGCAACTGATGTGGGATTTCTTTGGCTCTAGGATTCAGACAGCCGACTTAAAACATGCAGGACTTTGCACTCC